TGAACCAGTTTTGCACTACTGGAAAGCAGGATGAGATCTAGCAGGAAGGGCACATTTCTCTAGGAGTGCATTGTGTAAACAGTGGTGGCTGGCAGAGTGACAGTGGGTGTCCTGGCCGGGCTGCCACTGCCAGGATTGCTGCCTGGTGGTGCCAAAGGCTGGGCACTCTGGTCAGAGAGCAATGAGGTACCAGGGGGAAGAGCTGTTGTAGATAGTGAGGGAGGATGGACAGATCTTTCCAGAGGCCCTGCAGAGCCAAGAACCTGAGCTCCATGTTGAAAGGAAGGATAGAAAAATAGAGATAAGCTTTGAGAGTCAGGGGTGTAAACTTTCCAGATGGAGAAGGCTGGAGGTTGGTTACTGCTGACAGCATAACTAAGGCCCCTGTTCCACCTGTGATTCATCAGGTACAGAGAAGGTAAAATGCCCTGTGAAGAGGTGGGAGAGATGACCTCCCTCCCTTCAGATGGGGCAGCGGATCCAGCAGAGCCTCAGCCCTTAGAAGGTTCCAGAAGAGGAGGTGGCAGGTATCAGAAGTCCTCTCCTGAGGAGATGGAAGCCTCATGTGCCAGCCTGCCGTGCTGTCGCGGGCGGTCTGCCGCTTGCCGAGGGCTGGCACAGGAGCACTGCAAGGAGGCTGCCAAAGCTCCTTTGTCTCCTGGACTGTGACCACTGCTGCTCATCCATGTGGGCACCCGTGATGCAGCCAGGGGAGACCTCAGGAGTGACTACACGGCTCCGAGTGCAAGGGTGAAGGGTGCAGGTGCCCAGCGGGTGCCTCAGTCCCGCTGGTGCAGGGGGAAGGCTCTGGCTGGTGCAGGCACATCTAGGAGCCAGTCTGTAGCTGTGATGGTGGTGCTGCTGGCAGGGCTGTGATCTCCAGGGACGTGGGGTATGCTCTGAGGAGCAAGGACTGCTGAGCAAGAATCTGACCATGTGAGCTGAGGTCATCTCTAATTGGCTGCACAGCCTTGTGAAGGCGGCTTTAAATGATGCTTATTGCGGAAGAGGGTTCATTCCCTGAAGAAAAGGGTGAGCAGAAAGATGCAGTCTACAGCTAAATGAGCAGGGTGTGTAGGGAAGATGGAGCTAGGCTTTCCATGGGGGTACAGGGTGGAAAAAGGATGAGAGGCAAAAAAAAAAGAAAGATAGGAGTTTAAAATCAGAATTATGGAAACAAATGAGATGTCATGAGGGTGTTCAGATGCTGCCACAGGTTTCCCATAGAGGTTTTGAGATTACCATCCATGGAGAAACTCAAAGCTTGTCTGAAGAATGACCCAAGAAACCAGTTTTAACTCAAATTACTGTGAGTAGGATGTTGGTCTAGGAGACCTCTAGAGGTTCTTTCAAAGCTGTACGACTCATTGATTCAGTCATTTTTTACAAATTATTCTGACACATTAGGGTTGGCCATGGCGTGATGTCTGAATTCAGAGTTATTTCAGGGAAGTCCTCTATTCTCTGCCATGCAAGAGATCAGTCTGAGTATCTCCAGTGTTCCCTTATACGTTACATATAATCGTATCATATGGAGCTTGGATATGACCTGGTATGGCAATCCTTGGATTAATTTACAGTTATAAATAAGAAGAACTTGTTTTACTTTGATTTGTCCTTAGGCACATGAACAGATGTGACTACTCCTCTTGTGATGCATACAAATATTCGTCAATCATCATAATCAAAAGGAATTCTTGACATTACATTGTTTAGGTAATAGTCCCTGGCTTATATTTACATTAAATCCTAAATTTTAAGTAGTCATGAAACTTTACAATCTCTTCAGTAAATAAGTGGCACTGAGCACCTAAATGGCATTACAGTGGAGGAGGTGTATGGTTAAAGGCTGGCTTTTACCTCCTTGAGTGGTAGAGCTCTGCTTCTGGGAGAGGTCGTGTGTGCCATGCTGCTAGGAGAAGGTTTAGCTATTTTGTCTCCATCCAGTCTTGCTACTGGATACAGAAAAGAGGTGGAAATGTTGTCTTGCTCATTCTCTGCTTCATGGGCAATGAATTATCAGTAGTGGAAGAAGCAGTGCACCAAACTGCCCTTGTGAGCAGCTGTTAACAGGTGTCATAGCTCTTCTCACCGTTTTGTTTAGACATGACCCTGGTTACAGAATTACATTTGTAGCAAAATGACATTCACCAGTGATGAAATACAGCAAACTGAAGGTGAGCATAGTGACTCTCTAACGATGCACAGCAACATGCCATAATAATTCTTGTCCGAGATGAAGAAAGACTTTGTGACTCCTTGGATCAGTTTTCATTCTGGCTTTGAGTGCATTATATTGAGCTCTGTTTATGATCCATGTTTTAATAGTAAATCCTATTTTTGTCTTTACTTAATTTCTAAGATTTGGTAGGAGTTGCCACTGAAAAATGGTGTGAGTTCATGAGGTTGTTTAGAACTGTCTGACAACAGCTAGGCAACTGATTTAACTTTCAGGAGAGAAAGTTAACGTGGGATTTTTTTTTTTTTCCATTCAGCACTGTAGGAAAAGGGGCATTTACCACTGAAATAAGTTCAGGACTAGGAGATTGCTTGTCAGATCTTGAGGTAGTCAAAATTATTTTTCCCTCTTTAAGGAGTGTATGTGTTCCAGGCATGAGAAGGACACAGACAATCTGTGGATGACTGCTCAGGTGTTTTAAGCTGCAAAACATCTAGAGAAGTCAAAAAGCTGTTTTTCTTCCTCTCTGCTGTGATACCAAGCATTGCTGCATTTCATATGCTTGCTGTAAAAGCACTTTGGGACAACCAGAATGGAGCTTTAATTTAGCAATCAAACATTTCTATTATTCCCTATTTCATGTCAGAGGAGTTTCTGGTGGAATACTGATTCTGTGTGTAGGGACTGGGGCTGAGGAGAATGCTGTATGGAGATGGGAAGTGGCAGCTCTCACTTCTGTGCTTGAATCTGTTCTGCTTTGCTTTGTTGCTGCTGTGAGAAAACACATCTCTTCTATATGTCAAGAATGGATTTTTTTTTTGCCTGCTGAGTGCAGGAAGGCTTCTGAGTCTTGGTGGGAACATGCCATTAAATATATTTGCAGCCCATTAGGCCTAAAAACTTCAACACCTGCTGTACCAGTGAGAAGAAGATGGTTTTTTTGATATGTGATGGTTTCACTCATATGATGCTTCCATTGTGTTTTACAAGAGAACATGCAACTTGTTAAAGCCTTTTGGCACAGGTAACTTAGTTCCCACAGTAAAGTGATTACCTGATAGCGAGTTAGCAAGAAAAACCTCTTTCAAGGTTTGCATCTATGCTGAGCTTTTTTTTTCATTCATAAGATCATAGAAAAGTTGAGTTGGAAGGGACCTTTAGAGGTCATCTAGTCCAGCCTCTTTGGAATGAGCAGGGGTATCTTCAGCTAAATCAGGTTGCCCACTGAGAGCCCCATCCAACTTGACCTTGAATGTTTCCTGGAATGGGTCGCCTACCACTTCTCTGGACAACCTGTTCTGGTGTTTCACCACTGTTGCTATAAAAATCTTCTTTCTCATATCTTGTCTAATTCTATCCTCTTCTAGTTTTAAACCATTGCACTTTTCCTACTGCAACAGGCCTTGCTAAAAAATTTGTCCCCATCTTTCCTATATGCCCTCTTATGCTCTTGTTGAGTGCATGCATTTAAATTCTATTTTTTTGCAATTTTATTAATTTAATTTTTTAATTCAAAAATGTAGATGCTTTCTTACAGTTTGGTATTAGAAAACAATTTTTTGCAGTCATACAAACCTAGTGTAGCCTGGTATACAGTGCTTTCTTCCTGCTGTTATCAGGACAGATGACTCCTTCTGCAAATTCATGGGCAAGTGTTTGAGCAAGATAGAAAGCTCAGCTCTTGAACTGCTGAATTTGTAGGTTGGTAAGCAAAATTTGAGACTTTCAAAGGTGATTGTGGTTTTAGAATGAAATTCCTCTAATTAAGGGGCATTTTGACTACTATTTTCTAAAACTATTAAGTATATATTCCAAAAGGCAGGAAAAGACCAAACATCTCCAAAATTCCAGTGTGCGTTGCTGTGAGTCTGATCAAAATGTCCATATGTACTCTTGATACAGAAGAGAAAATTATAAATCTCATATGTGTATCTCTGTCTGAATTCTGGCACCAGGTCAAAATAGACAGGTGAACAACCTCAGATTTGACACAAGATAGTAATTTTTGAGGAATAATATTGTGTCGTAAGTGACTTGGAAAATTCAAGAGAGAAAATTACATGTATATCACATGTCCTTTATTCGTCCAAAGATCTGTCATGAATTCATTCAAAATAATAGTCGCCACAGCAGCAGTAATAATAAGACAATAAACATTTATATACATAAGTATTTTGGTGAACACTGTAGTAGTGGTAATACTGCAAAAAACAATTATGTACATATATAGTTTGGTGAACCCCTATTAAAGTGAAATAGCATAGAAGAACTTGAAGCATGTCATGATTTTCTTCTGATGAACTTGACTTTCTTGGTAATCTGAAAGATAACTGAAGAGTTATAACTTGTCAGAAAAAGAAGCCAAAATAAATTGCATCTTTATAATATTCTTTATTAGAAAATGCTCTAGGGAGCATATAGAGTTTAAAAACTCAATGCCTTTTCCTGATGATACTTTCATCACAAAATAATGGCATTTTATTGCAGACTATTTAAAATTAATTATTTTAAATTAGTGAGATAGTTGGTGGGTGATAGTTTTTGAGAGCTGTTTTTGGGAGTGAAGTGTCTCCTTTGTTATGTGCAACTAGCCTTATAAGCAGTATTAATTATGCCACATTGTGAAATTCTTCCTATTTAAATGACGAATAAGATACAAGGAATGAATAATAATATTTCATATCTGTTGTTGCAATGGGCATATGGCAGGTAGAAGATAAAGAGGAGTAAAACTGGAGAAAAATAGTTCATGGAAAGATCTGTTAATTGAACTGTGCTACAATTCCCTAATCTCACAATTTTTAAAATTATTCTTCCATAGCCTCAGACCATTCGGCAGACTCTTCAAAAGACACTGCAGTATTTTGAGCATCAAGTTATTGGGTAAGTGTTAATGTGAGGTAGTGAAAGGTGCATGGTAATGTTTTGCTCTGTGCTTTCCAATTCACAGCCTTACATGATAAGCTTTTTAATTTAATTTTTAATTTTTTCTCTCAAATTCTTAGAGATGCTTTGGAATAGCAATACATAATCTGGATGTAAACGTTAAACTGCTGTGCAGTCCTGCTTCTGTACAATCCCATCAGACGATGACTGCTTAATGAACTATAATGTTTCTTATAAAAAGAGAATAATGAATGTTTTTCAGTCATAGAATATCAGGTTGGGAAGGGACCTCAAAGCTCATCTTATCCAGCCTTTCTTGACAGAAGCATGGTCTAGACAAGATGGCTCAGCACTCTGTCCAGCTGGATCTTGAAATTGTCCATCCTGGGGCAATTAATCCTTAATCCTTTGCCACCACTTCTGAAAGACATTTGTTGTCTTGGCATTTGTAGAAGGAGTTGTTGTAACTCTTTTTTTTCTGTAGTTACAGAGATGAAGAGAAGAATTTCCACAATATATCAAACAGATGCACCTATACAGACTGCTCTGGCAATGAAGAAACTGAAGATGTCTCAGGAATTCTCCAGTGTACAGCTAACGTGCTTGGTATGTGTTTTTTCACGGGAATTTGTTTCCTTTAGTTGGAAGGAAAGTTTACTGACCAGCCTAATGCCAACAGTGAAACCAGAATTTTTTGCTCCAACCACAGAAATTTAGAATATAGGCAGCAACATACCAGTGCACTGTTACTACATTTGTCTCCTTTTCATACATTTTGAATCTTTAAGACTATCCAGATGTGATTGTCAGTGGAGGTAGTGAATGTGTATTGTGCAATACCCAGTGATTTGAGAAGTTTCAAAGGCTTTTGGAAAGAGGACTTGCTTCTGTGCAGGCCTTGGCATTATCTCTAGTGTTTTTATAGGGCTTCTGCAGAACAACAGACACTTAACCATCTCTGGGCGTGGTGGATAGAGGGCCTGAGAAACAGCAGCAGGGTGTACCAGAGACATGAAACATTCTGAAAACTTAGATTTTCTTTGTCAAGAAGCATAACACTGAAATCTGACTGTTTTCGATAACTGAAGATAAGTTTTAACTTTCCATGTCAGGGGAATAGGGTGAGGTGATAACCTGCTCACGTTCTGGTCTTTGCCATTGTATCCTGCTGACTTAAAATACTTTTGGAGGATATGCACTGTGTATCTGTCTTTTCTATTGCAAACTGTTAAACAGACTTGGTGTGCTCTGTGAAACAGCAAACATAATCTAGTTTAGAAATGACTGTGTTTCACTGACATTCAAAATGTTGTATATTTTTTTTGTTTTTAGCTGCCCAGTGTTTTATTCTGAAAAATGCTGGATGCTGTCAGGGATGTTACGTGTGCCTTTAACTGCTGCTAGAAAAAGGTGGCATTTAGAACAAATCAAATTCTAAATGTGTCCAGTGTGAGTTACCTTTTTTTTTTAATCTTCAAATATTTGCATGCTAGTTCTCTAAAACAAATGCTATGAGTGATAAGGTAGCACTCATGTAAAGCAAAGACTTTTAATGTTATCATGTGCGTAATAATATTATAAAAAGCCAAACTAGACATTCAGTACTTATTTCACTGTGACACAAAGTATGTGTTATAAGAAACATTTATTAATGACTTTTCAGTCTCAAAGTGCTTTTAAGCAGTGTGTTAGTCCTAGTACCTCAGCATGGCTGAGTAATGTGCAGCCTCTTTCTTCAGTGGTATCCTCACAATGGATGTTTATTAGGGGCAGATTGGGACCAAAATATAGGGATAACATCTAAGCATTACTATCTTGGGGAACTGTTAAAGTGGGCTTTGTTGAAAATTAGGTTGCAGAGACTTTTTCTTGGACAAGTTCGCCTCTTAAAGAAAGAGTTCTTAGCAAAAAACCCACTTCAGTATGAGCAAAACACTGAGATAATTTAAAAGCAATCCCTCTCCCTATCTGGGATAAGAACATAAGGGAATGAGCAGTAAACCCAGCTTCTTTATTTTAACTGTAGCTCCTATCACAACAGGGAAAAATTTAATGGAGGCTGTGTAATTAATTCTCACATACACAGTTATTTTTCTTATTGAATAAAGACAGGTAAGAGCCACCTCTGTGAAAGAGGGATGTAACCACTGGAGTGTGTACCTGGAGCAACTGGCATTACTGAGGCAGGAGGGAAGCATGAATCTGACTGTGATGAAGGCTACAGAAACTGTTGAACCAAATCTGGCTCTTAGCTTATTTATATGAGCAGTAAGAGGCAGTTGCTGTCTAGGGCTGGAAGAAAATGTTTCCTTAAAGATGCTTGGAAGCATATTCATGCTCTCTGACCTTAGATACTGCCAACATGATTCACCTCTTCCAATCTTTTAACCACCTCTAAAAAAGTCATTTAGCATTCCTTATTCATCAGAAGAGTGCAAATGCTGAGATCATTGGTAAGCTTGGAAGACTGTGAGCAGATGCTTCATACTGTGGTCCTGGTGCTTACACTGCTCACAGGGAAGTGCTGACTGCAAGCTGTTCACTCAGCTCGGTGCATGAGATTTATCATGTATGAATGCTGCAATTTTCCTCTTGTCAAGTCAGCACTAAAGTGTGTCACCATCTTCCTGCAGCACAAGGACCTGATTCTCCTTGTTGCCTTGCTGAGCTGCTCTGCTACAAGTCTTGACATCAACAGAAGTCTCCCTGCTTTAAAGCACTGTAATTAAAGGAGCCCATGTCCATCCCATTCACATGCTGTAAACCGTGTGTGGTACCAGATCAATCCCACAGTTTTCCTTTACAATGACAGCTTCTGAGGCTTGAGTTTTTATTTTAACTTTTTCTCCTTTCAAAAACAGTCCAGACAGCTTCATTATGGACTACTGTCATTAATTGGTGCATGCATACTTTTACAGTGTCCTTCATAAACATATAGAAACAGAGAATCCTTTAGGCTGAAAAAGATCTTTAATATCATCAAGTCCAATTGTTAATGCAGCACTGCCAAGTACACTACTAAACTGTGTTCAGAGGAGATTGACAGTGTTGGAACCTATTTTAGAAATAATGATAAGAGAAAAATGTCCATGATGAAGTATGGTATGTGGATTACTACCACATTTGTTTTGTAGGTGACTATAAACTTGTACTGAGGTATGTTAGAGAGAAAACATTCAGATATGTTGTATCTGAAAAGATTTCTTATTTGACCTTGGGCAAGTTTTTACTCTTTCTGTGCCTCAATTTCCCATCTGTATAATGGAGATAACAGGATTTTTAAAATCCTTTAAACCATATGTCAGTGCTATTCAGATTTCAACCTTCTTGAAGTAAAGACATTTTCATACCCTTTGTACATTCAGCATTTTGAGCAATGACAGCAAATCTCGTTTGGGACTGCTTTTGTCCTCATGATTTAAAATAATTTGATTTCAAGTAAGATTAGAGTGTGCATTTTTACTTAAATGCTTCCAGAATAAAGCAGAAGACCTTCATGTACTGCAAATTAAAACTTTGGCAACAGGAAATTACAGATTAAAACTTTTTTTGTTGTTTTGTAACTGCTATTGCAAGGAATTTATTCCGAGACATAAAGCCTTCATGACCTATCTCCTGTTTATTTTTTTGGCAGGTATTCAAAGAAGGTCTGTGCTACTGAGTTTTACAAAGCAGTAGAGAAATGCCCAATTTTCCTTTTTGAACCCCACTCAGTACTTCCAATATATCACATGATATTTCTCACATCCCAAATGCACAACCTTCACCTCACCTCCTCCAAACACTCTTTTCAGGCACTGCAAACAATTAATGTAGCCTTTGTGAATGTGAACTATTTTTCACTCTTCAGTCCTTCACAGGGAAAGAAAAGAAAAGGAGCTTCACTAAGGCAGTTACCTATCTTTTAAATGGCATCAATATTTCCTTTGGAGCCACTTTACATCTTACTGAGGAACTGTGTAATCTGTCATCACTTTTATAGTAAAACTAATGAAAAATAACCTAAATTTTTAAAGTCATATAAAAAGAACTGTTGTGCCAAATCTGTAAAGTAGCAGTAACTGCTCATACTCAGTCTCTGATGACATAGAAGTGTCTTTGAAAGCCCATTTGTGTATTTTAAACTTCAGTATCTAAATTGCATGTACTGCTGCACCACGTTAGATACACTCTATAAATTACACTTGGTCACACAGTCTGAAGTTATAAATACACTTGTATAAGATCATGGTTTCAGCATAAAAGCCTGGAGAAATAATTTTACCTGACTTTCCATTGCATAAGGTACAGAAAAAAATTCTCCTCCATATTTTAAACTCAAGCAAATAATTTATACAACAGAATTATTTTTTTTCTACTAAAAATTTGGCTCCTAAAATTTTACTACAATTACTTCCTTTTCTTTAAAAATGCACAGCGCATATCAATGGCTAAGTCAGCTCTGCATGTGGACTCAAGTGTATTGCAGGAATTTTTCCTACTAGGCATTTGTAACTTGATGGATAACAATGCTCTTTCTTTTGGTTTTGCTTCAGAGAGTGGTGTGAGGAATTTTCTTGTCTCTCTATCTTTCTGAGCATCTTCTGTTTGGAGGATGATATGGAGCAGTGGCAATTCCCTAGAGATTCCCTAATACCCTGGTGATAAGCTGTATGGAATCCTGGCCCAGAGACCTGTCCTGTCAGGGAGATAAATTGTGTTTCTGGATTCTGCTTCCCCAAGTCACCAAGGAGGAGGTGGCATCCATTGTTAGTGGAAGGTTTTAGAGAGTTCTTGCTCTGGGTGACATTTGCTTGTCACTACCAAAGAGAATATGTGCTGCAGGCTGCTTTATATAGGGCAAATCACTTAATGCCTAAATATATCTTGCAGGGCTGATCCTTCATTTAGTACAAAGGGCATAATTCTATAAAAGTCATTTGTTCTCTGTACATTTGTCAAAGTTAAAGATCGGTGTTTCCTTTATGAAGCTGAGAAAATCTTAGCTCTTATATGAGGCAATGGCATGAAGCTGGACATTAGGAAAAGGTTATTCACCCAGAGGGTGGCTGAGAGCCTCACTGAGCTGAAGGCTGTTCTTTATTGCTCCACTGCTGAGCCCTTGGGAAGTGGTCACAGCATGAAACCTGATAGAATTCGAGAAGCACTAGGACTGTGTTCTCAGGTATATGGTGTGATTCTTAGGGATGTCTTGTGCAGGGCCAGGAGTTGGATTTTGATGATCCTTGTGGGTCCCTTCCAACTCAGAATATTCTATGCTTCTATGATCCTCTGTTGTTAGAGAGGAATATATTTGGGATCATCCTGGTAACTATTAAATAACTGCTGAGAAATACTATATTTGAAGAGGCAGGAAATAGTTGAAAAGGTGGTGCCAGGACAGATCTTAGCCTACCATGAGATTAGACCAAGTGTAGTGTTTGCAAAAGGTAAACAAAAGTTTGGTAGATTGAGTGCTTGGGAGGTGTCTGAGAACTGTAAATGCTTAGATATTGAAAGTATATAAATTTTTATCACTTCCCTTTGCACTAAGAACCGCGGCTAGTCATTAGGATGCAACTAATTTAGGATACAAGGCCTGATTTATAATTAAAGTTGTTGGTTTA